TTTTTTTGGTTTTGGAAAGATGTCCTCTCAGTCTGGTCTGGACTTAATGGATGGCACATGCGGAAGAAATCCCCTCCCTCCTCCCTCCTCCCCCTGGGGGTATATTCACACGACCTTCTTCCCCCGGAAAATAACGCGTACGCGCTGTAAACGAATAGAACGCGTAGGCTAGTTTTTATTCGAATACATGGCACGTGCGTTGTATACGAACAGCCCGTATTTTCGATACAACGCGTGTGCGTTCTATTGAAAACTCGAATGCAAGGCATGTGCGTTATGTTCGGGGGAAGACGGTACCACTTTCCTGAACGTATATGACGGCGATTACGACCAGGCCTGGATGTACCTGACTGCAATCACGTCCAGAGTTTAGAGGGGAAAAAAAAAAGAGATTTATCATCTGGCTGTGTTTGCAGCCACATACGTCCCGTCCACGTGTCCGGTTTAGAATCTGTGACAGTAGATTCGATTCGAATCTGTGAGAGTCGGTGAAACTCCGACGAAACAGTTTGTCACAGCCCCTCGTTTGTTGTCCTCTTCTCTCTCTCTGCCTACGGTTTACCGGGCAGTTCTGTTTGTGACGATATATATCTATATATAGATATTTGACATATATCTATATGATATATTATACATATTTATCAGAGGGGCATTCCGCTCGATTCCCATCTTTTAGGGGCATTTTGGGATATGTCTCAACTCATGGGGGTATTTTGCAAATCATCCCTTTTAGTTTTAACTGAAGGAAAATGCGGGGATGTATATACAAAGCTATGTTGCAGGTTTTGCCGCCGGATCCTCCTTTAAGAATATTGTGTCATCCCTTGCCTTGTACTCATTTTTGCTCTTCTTTTTCTTTTTCTTCTTCTTCTTCGTCTTAGGTTTCTTCTTCTTTCTCCTCCTCTTCCTCCCTCTCTCTCCCTCTCCCTCCCTCTCCCTCCCTCTTCCTCCCTCTTCCTCCTTCTTCCTCCCTCTTCCTCCTCTTCTTCTTCTTTTCCTTCCCGAGCTCCGTCCTGTCATCTCCCTCTCCATTCTCTCTACTTGTCCTTCCATCATTGTGATTCAATCCGTATCTCTATCTGATTTCTTCCTTGGTGATTTCTTATCCTCCTCTTTCTCCCTCTTTCTCCCTCTTCCTCCTCTTCTTCTTTCTTCTTCTTGTTGTTGTTGTTGTTGTTGTTGTTGTTCTTCTTCTTCTTCTTCTTTCTTCTTCTTTCTTCTTCTTCTTCTTCTTCTTCCTCCTTCTTCTTCCGTCTTCTTCTTCTTCTTCCTTCTTCTTTCTTCTTCTTCTTCTTCTTCTTCTTCTTCTTCTTCTTCTTTCTTCTTCGTCTTCGTCTTCTTCGTCTTCTTCGTCTTCTTCTTCCCCGACGCGTTTCGACCAGGTTGCCCTGCTGGAACTCCTCAGGAAGGAGGAACTCCTCAGGGGTCCCTTTTTTTTTTCCTCCCAAGATCGATCGCCTTGCGGCAGCAGCGACTTGACCGATCCTCTGAGAAAAAATAGAGGGCCATCCGCCTTGCCCTCTAACTTATACTACCTTCATCACCCGAATACAACGTACTACGGTCATTACAGCTGGCTGTATTTAGACTGAAAGATAGCCCAAATACATAGAGCTATAATGACCATATATACGGTGGAAGAAGGCAGGCAGTTATCTCCCTTAGGCCTTTAGTCACCCCCCCCCCCCCCCCCCCCCCCCCCCCC